CCTCCTTCACCGACCCCCTCAAATGCGCCATTGGCGATGCTTAAATCGACACTGTATATCAACACTGAAGATGTGTTGTTGTCGAAACGATGAGACCCTACTAATCTCTGCCCTCTATCTTCCTCTCTCCTCCCTCACTCTGTCTCTCTCTCTCTCTCTCACCCTCCCTCTCCTTCTTTGATTTCTCGAACTAGTGCAACGTTGATGGTCTCCCATACTTCAGCTACAAGGCCATTCTCGACGGCCTCCCTCCCTCCAAAGCCGATGCTTCCTAGCAAATGCCTTCTCTCTACAAGTCCACCAACACCACTTGCATTGATCCCTTCCTCAAGGTTCTTGCGTTTAGATCTGATCTCGGCCTTGACTAGCCACGTCCCTCCTGTCACCTGTGTTGTCTAACAGGGTCATGACCTTTTCTGTCAAAGCCGCCAGTGTTTAGGTCGTTCATGGTTCGGGAAGGGTGAAGGGTGGGGGGAGAGAGGACGGAGAGAGAGAAAGGAAGTTCTAAGGGCCAACATGCATGTTCAACTCAATTAAGGAGGCATCCATGCTCATCGAGGATGGTTCTCCGTTGAAGCCGATCTAGCCCATCCATAGTAGTCATCAAAGCTGTCATGGAGTTGGTGAGGAGGAGGACTAGAGAGAGAGAGAGAAAGGAGGGAGAGGACAAGAAGAGGGAGCGAGAGAAAGTGGAGGAGAGACCTAAATATTTTTTTATATTATAAAAAATATTAAAAATGAATTGTGAGACTCACAATTAAATATTTTATAATAAAATATTAAAAATCAAGAGTGGGACCTACTTAACAAAAAATAACATTAGAAAAAAAGGGTGATTGAGAGATAAAATTAACATTAAATTAAATTTAAGATTATTTTTCAACTTTGATGACTAATTCAGAGATAAATTTAACCTTAACGCATAAAAATTATTTGCTCTTTTTTTTAAATATTTACTTTTTATATAGGTTTTAATTAGCTTGATAAGAAAGTCTATATTTTCATATTAACTTTGAAGCCAATGAAGACACACACAGATATATGTATGTATGTATGTATATATATATAAAGCTCATTTTCTATACTAGATTTTTTTTCTTTTAAATCAATGTAAAAAATTTTCTCAACATCAATTCAATAGCCTCCCCTTTTTTACACTTACGTCAAAACCAATGTAAGACAAAAATCAATATGACTTTTATTAAGGTTGTAAAATTTCTCGATGTTAAACTTATTTTGTGATAGTAGTATACATTTAAAAATAAATTCCATTAATAATCTAATTCTGATGCTACTTATTGAGCCATAAGGTGTCCTGGAGAGATGAGAGCTAAAAAGTATTCAGGTAAGTAAATTCAGTATTATATCTTAATTCAAAACTTTAAAGTAATTAATAAAGAATTAGGTAAACATGTTGAGTAAAACAATGTTTAAAAGTTGAGTTGATTGCTCAATTTTTCAACAAACAACAAGAAGTAACGTGCTTGGTACATCTCGATCTCATCATTCACAAAGGAGTTTTTGTTCGATTGCTCTCTAAGAAAAATCAAGATGTCATAGATCGGGAAGTTCATAATCAGCTTTACTGTTTTGGATATGTCTCTATCACTGTATATGCTTTTTTCTTGATCTTTTGATTTTTATTTTATTATGTCTTCTTTTTTATGAGTCTTTACCCTGCTATTACCTTTTATTTTAATTAATATCATTTAACTTTTTCTAAAGAAAAAGGTGACATGCTTATTCAAAATTATCAGCAGCCAAATTTGTGGCTTCTCTTATAGGTAAAAAAGAATGCGATACATAGCTTTTCATTATAAAGTTCTTTCACAAATTCCGAGTATGTAGCTACCCAAGAGTATATGTATGATGACATGTCCTTGCCTATCTAAAAGCAATCATATCCACGACTCCTTACTACAAGTTCACAATACAACTTTTTGATAAGTTTACAACTTTAATTGCCAAGAGCGCGCAGGAAAATGCAGAGAGGCAAATTGTAGTCCCTTTTACTTGCATCTTTGGCGAAATTGTGTGGTATTCAAACTTGTGATGATACTTTATTTGTCATTTTCCTTGATTTCAATTCCTTGAGAAAATGGAGTAATTGAGTAATTGAAGGAGAAGAACAACCAAAAAGAATATTCAAAGTAAATATTTTTAAAAGTTACTCGTCCATATGATGTGTTGCAAGCACCCCCACCATTAAATGAAAACCGCCAAATTCTTAGTAGTAGTCTAAGAAGGGCCCCTAGAGAGAATATATAGTACTCAGCATCTTGAGAACATGTTTCCATTGAACTTGAAAGGAAAACTGTTGAGAAAATTTGAGAGAAAAGAATACTAGCGAAAACATTTCATTAAACAACAACAATAATTAGAAACAACTTAACATTCATTCACTTGAAGGATTACAAATCAAACCAACCCTTAACTTGGGTGATAAATAAACCCAAACATGAAGACTAACCATGATGTGAAGACCAAGTTAACCTCCCATTTGAGGTAGGATTTCAACCCCCTTACTTCTAAACACAATATGGTACCCTTTTATATAGAACTTAGGGTCTACAACTAATTAATGTGATTAACCCTAATCACATATTAATACTCTAATATTCCAACAATAAGCCCTTACTACTGTTTATGGATTCAAAGAAATCTACAGAAAGGCCTCATTTTGTTTTTAATTATTTATGCATATGTTGTAATACTGCAATGAGAGGCAGAATAGAATCAAAGTCAGTGACCATATAAGGGTCGTGTTCTTCATTTGATCGTGGGTGTATTGTACAGGAGTAATCTAGCTACATCCCTTGTCTTTCCTTTAGTAAGTGGACACGTTCTCTAGCTCTGTTCATTTTCCCTTCGTTCTCTAGCTCCGTTCATTTTCCCTTCGTTCTCTAGCTCCCTTCTCTTCCCTGGGCTATCTTTCTGCAATTATTGATGACATTTGATTATTTTTTTTTCATTACAGTGTCATATGTCATCCTCACAAAAGAGTAAGGCTATCAATATTGGCATTGGTAGTAATAATAATTATTAAGGTTTAATTGATGATGCTAATAAAGTCTAATTTTTATTAGACTTAAATTTGTTGTAATGTGAATTGACTTAAATTTATTTTTTTAAACTTAATTTTATACATAGTAAAAAAAAATTTGGATTTTAAATTATTTTTTAGGTTATTATGAGTAAGATAGAATATTTGTATTATAATTTTGATAAGAGATCAGTTAGTAGTAATTTGAAAATAAAATTAAAAGATCAAATTATATTTTAAGTGAAAAATTTTATATATTTGGGAGTTATTATTCAATATAATAGAAAAATTAATGAAAATATTGCATATAGGATATAAGTTAGTTGGTTTAATTGGAGAAAGGCTAAAAAAGTTATTTACGATAGTAAGATACTTGATAAATTTAAAGGAAAGTTTTATCAAATTATTATAAGACCAGCTATGTTATATGGCAGTAGAGATGATAATATTGAGATAAATGAGCGAGCATACATGCCAAGATAAAATTTAAAATAAGTACATATGAGAAAAAGTAGGCGTAGCACCTATTGAGAGAAAAATAATAAACCATCATTTGAGATAGTTTGAACATGTATAAAGAAGATTGCGGGAGATATCAATGAGGAGAGTGAAACGAATAATTTTAAGCCCTGTTAAGAGGGGTAAAGGAAGGTCAAAGAAAATATTTATAGAAGTTGTTAATTGATACCTCTTAATTAATAATATTTTTAAAAGTTTGATAAATGATATAGTCCAATAGCATGTACAATCTATGTAGCCATTCCACCTAATGGAATAAAGTTTTTGTTGTTGTTATTGTAGGTTAATTTTAAAATTGAAAAAGAAAACAGGGCTAAGGTCCACATAGTTGGCTCTTTAGCCTTGAAGGCCATAGCCGAGTTTTGCAAAATGAAGCCTTGATATATATAATCAGGATTAACAGGGTTAGCCTGTTTAGGCCCTAGCACTTCAGGGATTGACTCTATTGAATAGCTCTACTTTTTATGATGATTGTTTAATAAAGAAATATGATAGTTATATTTCCAAAAATATATTTCTTGCTCATTTTAATTCATTTTTTTAAAAAGATAAGAGTGTAAATTGGCCTATAAATTATAGGTCTAGAAGCATTTTTGGTGTAATGTTCTTTTTTAACTTTTAAAAATGGTGCAATTTCACCTAGATTATTAACAAAAGTTATCTTTGACTGTTAGTTGACTAAAAAATGACATAAAAAATTAAAAAAAAAAGACCAATAAAATTTTCTTGGTTCTTTTAAGGTATTTTTTTTAGTCCTTGTCTATAATTTTTTAGTCCTTTACTTTAACTTTTTTGTCCTTTTTCTGTAATTTTTGAAGTCATTTTTTGATTAATCAACTATTAAAGTTAACGTTTGTTAATAGTCGAAATCAGATTGTACCATTTTCAAAAATTAAAAGTAAATATTACTTTAAAAATAAAGTTTGGATTCCAAATACTATTGGACCTATAATTGAGAGGTTAATTTATCGTTTAATCCTTTTTAAAAATCTTAATAACACTTTTCATGTTTTAAATCCATTCAGAAAACGTAACGTGCTTGACCCAAAAAAAAAAAATTGTAACGTACTTTTTATTTCCATTTTATTTATATTATATTACGTATTTATTTTAATTTATGAACTTAGGTAATAATATTACAAATAGAATTGTAATATCACATTAAAACTTACGAAAACCAAATTTAATTCGGACAATGAAAGATGTTAATCATAGCTCACTCAAATTAAATTAAAAAAGGTCACATTATTAAATTTTTGTCATAAATTTCTCTATTTACCTTCCATTAAATATTGATGATAGGAATTACGTTTTTAAAATATGTATATTTAGTAAAGATAAAATTAAAAACTTATTAAATTTTTACTTAGTGTAAATGAATTTTAAAATTATCCTTAATTTTAATAAGATATATTACAAGTAACTTATAAACAGGAGAATATCACTATACAGTAATGGATAACATACAAATCCAAGAGTTCGTATTCTTTATTCTTATTCATTCCATAATTTTATTTTATTTTTTAATCTGGGAGACGAGTGAATACGAAAATTTCATGAGGCAGGCAATGGGCTAGAGCTTTATATAGCCATTCTCAATCATCCATTTGAGGCTCCAGTGGTTAAATTGGCATTTATAAGCCCAATAGGCCCATCCAAAAGAGGCTCGAGAATACACATCCAACTGTGCTTTTGCAAATCTCTGATAATCTTCCTTTGACGCTCCCTGTACGTTCCACTCTGCTGTCCACTCCCCTGTCGTGCCATTTCCATGACATAATCCATAGATATAAGTGAACTTTAAGGAGAGATCTATCATCTATCATATAATATAATCCTGTTTACTCACCTACGAAACTGAGAGGACCATTGCTGGTTGTGATTCCGTTGAGATCCGAAGCTGTTTGGTTATATATATAATCGATGTTCTGTTGCACATTCATGTTCCTGAACTGAACCCCAAACAAATTGTAATAATGCACGTCAATCACTACTCGATCGAATCCCCCAGCAAATGAGAGAAGCTCTTTGGAGCCATGATCCAATGGGTTTGACATGATGACATGAGTTGTTTTAGCGTATTTCCTCACTGCATCATAAGCTTGCTGGTAATACTTCTTCAGGCTATCCAGATTCGGCCCTAATGTTGGCTCGTTCATCAGTTCGATTCCTCCTAGACTAAGTTTGTTCGCATATCTACCAGACCAAAGTCAGCTATCGTCATGTCGCTATCTCAAGTCTCAAAATAGCGACAAGATCGCGGTGTTTCTCATGTAATTAAGACCAAAACACACCCCAAGAATTCAAACGTGCTCACCTTTTTGCTAAGAAGTCAATTACTGTAACTGTGTCTGGTATGTATGAATCTCCCCATTCAATATATCCGTCTCTTGTTCCACTGTGATCGTTCCCATTCTGTGAACCTTGAACTGCATGAAGGTCCACTATCACTTTCATCCCGTGGTTTCTGCAACATATGTGGCAGTAATTTAACCTGTAATTGATCTATTTGTGAGAACTGAAAGCTTGAAATTGGATCCACACACTTACTGGGCCCAAGTGAAATCATTGTCCAATGCTGCAAGAGATCCACCGACAAAAGGTTTCGGAGGGTTGGGGTCGTAGGCTATCCACCAACCCACAGGAATTCTTACAGCAGTCAACCCATTTTGTGACATGAATCTGAAATCTTCTTCAGTTATATACGTATTCCAATGATCCTGCGTTGCATTGCATCCTCAGTATCAGAGAATACTAATTTTAGCTTGTTTAGATTGAAAGGAAAGATGTCTGTAGAAGAAAGATGTGGGACCTGCAAGACTTGAGGTGCTCTATTAGGGCCATAACCATTAGTAATTTGATACTCTCCTTGTAATGTTTTCACAGTTGTCATATTGAACACAGATGGGTCGCTGTCTTCCCAATTTGTCGATCCTTTGTAATCTGCACTCACCACTGTCTCCGATTGAGCCTGATTAATACAGTCAAATTACATAAACATAATTCCCACAACTATAAAGAGCCATCCATGTCGCTTGTAATGTTGGGATTTGAATAACAGGGGGATATATGTGTACATACATACCTGTAAGAAGAGACCGTTTGATGCTTGGATTCGAATTTTGGATGGGTGACTAGTGTTTCTTATAATCTGAAACGTTTCTGGGTTTGTGGTTGAGTTAGAAGTGGCGACTAGCTTCTTTGCAGCATCTAAACCAAAGAATTGCTTGCTGAACACTCTGAAATTGAAGGTGGAATCGTTCACCCTCCACAACTGCATAGGCGTTAATTTTTTCATTTCGGATTATAAGAGAAGCAAATCTGGAAAAGCCTTTGGTTTACAGTAAGTGGCGAAGAACATAAAGACAGAGACACACCGTAAAAGTTTCCCAACCAGAAGCAGAATCGCGGTTCGCTGAAACTCCAGTCCCTCCTCCGTTTTCAGCCACGAGAAACTTCTGTAACTTGATGGACTTCAATTGTACTTGAGTTCCATCCTGAACACGACCAAGATACCAAGAATAAAGAAGTAAGAGTGTGTCTGCGTGTGTTTGTGTGTGCGTGTGAAAGCATAGATGAGACAGTGAGTAAAGAAATGGATACCAAGAGATCTTTGTTGACTATGCCATCAAAAAGAGATGGTTTCATCCAGCCCTCCGTAACGAGCCAATTCCCCAGATTTACGGCTTTGTATGGCAGATTTTGCGCAGCTACGAGTGAGTAACAGCAACAGAGGAGAAGAGGAAATAGTACACTCACGCAATTTTGGTATCTCATTTTGATAGCCTTTGCTGAATGTTCGGGAAAGTGTGTGATGGGCGCGCACGTATATACTCCTCCCACTCCGAAGCATTTCTCCTCAGAATTTTCATTCAAATATAAATAATATAGTAAATGTAAAAGATTTTTTTTTCATTTCATCTATTATATTTATTAAGCTAGATTTTTATGTAAATACATTTCTCATTTATCATTAAATTTGAGATTAAAGATAAAAAATAATATATATTTTTATAAAAATGATGACTTTATTGGTATGCAAATTTTCTCTTAAAACTACTTATATTTTGAACTAAGGGAGTAAGTATATGAATATTGATATAATGATAAATTAAAAAAATAAAATACAAGGAAAAATCACATCCAATAATCAAATAAAGGTATTTACTGAAAAAAGACCAAACAATTTTGAATTTATTTTACAAAGTTAAAGGATCTAAATATAATTAAAACTTATTGCAAAAAAAATAAAACTACAGCTGATAATTTTTTTTTTTGGTCTAAAAAAAATTCCATCCATAGACATTGATTGCTGGACCACTATTGGCGCTTGGACACTAGGTGATAAATAAATTTTCAAGATGACAAGGAGGTTTGAATCCACAACTCTTTGGTCACCAAAAAAATTAATAACCACTAAGTTACTAATAGTTGTTAATTTTATAGTGCACAAATTTTTATATATATATATATATATATTATATTATATTATATTATCAATTTAGTTTTCACATTCAAAACCATTACTTTCTCCATTCAAAAATATAAATAATTTTTAACCGAATCTCACTTTCAATAAAGGAGTTATTTGTTTTCAAACTAGCACTATTTTTTTATATATATCCCTATTTAATATAATATTTTATTCTAAAATAAATATAAAGTGATTTATTTATTAGGGGTACTTTAAAAAAAAAAAGACAATGATTATACTTTAAAATGTTTTATATTATTGAACATCCAACCTCTCAAAAAATGTCTTACATTTTTAAACAAATAGAGTATTTGTCAATAGCTCAATTCAACTTGCCATTTCATAAATTTTTACTTATTGATTTATTCAAAGAAACTTGTTAAAAAATTTAATATACAAAAGCTGTCATTATAGCAAAAAATCTACTTGATAAAAACTTATATGAACTTATTATTTTAGTAAAATTTACTTATCAATTTTTTAAGAAAGATTGTTGAAGAAGATTTGATATGTACAAGTTGTTTTTATAAAATGAAATGTACTTGTCAAAGGCTTAATTGAACTTGTAAGTTCATAAATATGAACTTGTTAATTTATTAATATTTACTTGCATATATGGACATTGTTAACAATTGTTTTTTAGACATTTGACAAATTAATTCTTCTAAAATGACAGGTTGACATAACATTTTGACAAGTACACTTCTAAGTATAAAATTCACATTTTGCAAAGTGAATTTTATGAACAAGTTCTTCTAAATAAATTAACAAGTAAATGTTATTAAAATAACAAGTCCAATTAACGTTTTGGTAAGAATAATTCAAGTTATAAAGACACATTATGAATATTGAGAACTTTATTGAAGTATGCATAATATGTTTTTATAACTTGAATTATACTTGTCAAAATGCTAATTAAACATTTGAATCTATCATTTTAGCAACATTTATTTGTCAATTTACTTAGAGGAACTTATGAATAAGATTCACTATGAAAATATAACTTTTATAATCTGAAGTATACTTGTCAAAATGATATGCCAACTTGTCATTTAAGTATTCAAGCCAAGCTCATTTGAGTTCAGGCCTGGTTAAATTTTTTTTAGGTCTAGAATAATTTTTTTTTAAAGACTTAAACTTGACCTTAAAATTTTTTATCGCTTACGTAACTGTACTAGATTGATATAATAATAATTTCAAAGTATTATAGGAGTTGAATCCAAAGAAAAGCTGTCAACTTTATTATTCATAAAAACAAGAATTTTTATAGTGGAATTTAATAATTGAACAATGCAAATAAAGAGCAATGATAAAAAGTGGTGAACTAAGTCAATTAGACAAACACCAGGGCTAATTTCAAAACATCCTAATAAAAGATATAAACTAAATTCAAAAAAAAGAAGAGGAAAAACTTTTAGCTCAAAAGAATTCCTTCAAGTTCCATGCTCTATCTGCTAACTCTTAAATATGAAATTGGATGATCTAAATAAGACTCTTTAAGGTTGCATATATAATATTTGCGTCCTAAAAATCTAAAAGCCCATTAGCATGATTCTTCATTCTTTGATGTGTTCTTTTTGGCTCCCTTTCATTGCAAAACACATAAAACAATTAATGAGACAATATATTGTGTTTTTAATATATTTTTATACCATAATTACTTCAAATTTGGAGCTAAATCAGATCAAAAGCAATGTAAAAATTGGACCCACAATTTTTTTTTAACCTTTTTATGATTTATCGAAGCCTGATTCAAATGATCGACTCTACGACTCACAACCTTTTCTTTGGGGTAATAGAACATTAAATTATCTATTTTGGGAGGGAGAGGAGCTATCTGCCAGGCCCACTCTAATTAGAAGAAAGTGGACCAGTTTGGGGAGGAGGTTGGGTCTTGGGTGGCGAGCTATTTGCCACCCTATCCTTAAAGATTCTGGGAACAAGTTTGTGGGGAAAATCCGAGAGAATGGCATAACAAGCAATATATTTGATGAAAAAGAAGATAAATTGCAGACTGTGAAAGAAATATTGTACATTTTGGATCCGGTTCTTTTTCCTCAATTCCTGATTACACCATTCTCTACAATTTTTCCTAAACATTTTATACTTTTTTTTTATATATAGATAAAGTTACAATAAAAAAATTAAAAAGAAATCGCCCTAAACATAACATACTGGAATGTTGATAGGTGGAATCTGTGGAGTACGGAAACTTTGAACTTTGAAAGAGCCGCCGCTGACAATATAGGGTGAGTTATCACGCGCCGCTCTCTCTATTGAAATTGGCCCCTCCCCTACCAACCAGGAATAATAAAGGAAAACAATAGTTTCCATGATATAATTTTAAAAAGATAATTTATAATTATTAAATATGAATAATATATACTAAATATTGTATTATTTTTTTATTATTTACAGGTGTCTTCGTACCACGCAATCATATTCAAATTGTAGTTGAATACTAAACATAGAAACCTCTCATCATGATATTTGAATATTAATTTGTTAGGTTTAGTTACTTCTTTTGCTGGTCCTATGCATTTTAATTTGAGTGTATTATTTATTTGTTCTAAACCATGCTTGTTAGGCTCTTACAATGGTGGTTAAGTCTAATTACTTTTGATTAAAAAAATTGAATAATGGGATAGGAATCATGACGCATTTTTAGTGTGATTATTTCCATTCTTTTCATTTTTATTTTAAACCATTCTGATTTAATTTAACAATTGAAAGCAATTTATTTAATTTTCAACATTTTAACATTTTTATATTAAATCTAAAATTTTTCATCCAAATTTTAGCCTGACAATTTAGATCTTCCATACAGTTGAGAGAACTTAAGTATGTTGAGCTAATGTAAATTATGACTTGTGGTGCTAAAGATAATAAATTTTGGCCAATAGCTTTGCGATCTTTTGGTGCCAAATTTCTCTCGGTTGTGGAAAGTTGCAAATTTGACCTTGCACTTCTTTAAGCCAAAGCCATCAAGCTTGCCCCTTTAATCTTCAGATTTTTGTTTTAAAGAAATGCTTTGCCCCTTTATCAAGATATGTATGGCTCTCTAGTGATTTTGAGCCTTAAACCACCTTCAAATATCAATTCAATTCAATCAAGTCCTAATAGAACTATCACATTCCTCTAACATTCTCCTTTCTCCTTATTTTACCAAGCTCACACAATGTGATTTAATTATATTTTGACTATCCATTGTAATAAATGATACAAAAAGTCATATCTTGTATTTTGCACTCTTTTCTTCAGCCCAAAGTGGCCCACTATCTCTCCAAGCCTAATACAAAGCTGCCAAAACAATTCATTAGCCTAATAGTCATCCTTAAATCATATCAAAATTAAGTTCTCTTTATTAATTTATCCCTGAAAAACTTAATAATTCTTAAGTTAAAGTCTAGAATATTACAATTATTATGGTTGATGAGTTATTTTAATTGTTGTAAAACCTTTCTGCTTTGATAAACTTTAATAATTGGTTTCTATTCTTAATTACTATGGTAGAGCTTGTTTGATATTTTATTTGGGTAAGGAAATTTACAAATCAGATTGCCTTTAAAAAGCTTCAACCATTTTGACAATTGGGAGGTTTTAAAAGATAATTATTTGTTTATTACTCTATCACGTTATATTTTTTTCTAAATCACCCTTTATATCCATTTTCTTTTATTTATTAATTTAATTCCTTTTCAATTTATTTCATTGTTAAAACTACATTTTTCTGTACAACAAAAACGAATTCAGAAGATAGCCATTTAGAGATAGATCATTTGGCAACAATGAGGTAGGTGTGAGTAAAATTCAAACATTCATCCCACCCATGACGTAACAAAAGAAAAAAAAAAGTTAAGAAAATAAATAATTAATTTCAGTGATAATATTAAAGAGAACATTATATTAATAATAGTTAGTTCTTCGAATTTTTTTTTAAAAAATAAATTATAAATATTGATTCAATCAACTGCAAATTCAAGATATTTTCAATTGCAAATAAAGTATTTAAGTTTCAAACGTAAGTTTTAATTTGAAATTGAGATCCTAATTTGTAACTAATTGTCTATTTTTTTTTTTAGTATCTAACTGTCTTCTGTCTCATATAATCTTGTTAATTACCTACAACACTAAGAGGATCATTGCTTGTGGTGACGCTGCTAAGATCTGAGGCTCTTTGATCATATATGCAATCAATGTTCTGTTGCACGTTCATGTTATTGAACTGATCCGAATACAGATTGTAATAATGCAAGTCAATAACTATTCGATTGGATCCGCCAACAAATGATAGAAAAACTGA